TTTTTTTCCGTGTAATTCTCTATAATGTGATAAGAATTGAACATACACTTTCTTCAAATACTTATCGCGTACATGAGATAATACCAACTTTTAAATCACTGTCGAGCAACACACACAGCAAACCTCCCTCGCGATGCTTTTCGGACCGAGGAATAGTTCATGTTCGGGGGTGCTAAATCGTGGGCTTCACCCTCGATCGAAATACGCTGTAATTCATGAGTCATACAAAGCAAACTGCGTGTACGCTTCGCATTCAGATCGCGAGGAGTATTTCTTCGCTCTTATGCGTTCGTTGCTACCGCCATTCATTGCAAAACTTATAACAATGTTCTATACCTACTCAATGCCTACTGATCATATACTATATGTCGGTATATGTTGAAATTGTTTAAAAATTGAAAAGACATAATGATAATTTCTCTTTGAGATATTCTCTTGATTAAAATATATAGAATTATACAAATGATAGTATATTACTTTCGAGTATGTGTCCGTAAGAATTATCAGTCATGAAAATGACTCGTACAAAAAGTATAGGCAGGAAGAAAAGGAAAAAGAAAAAACACGTAAAAGGGGGGAAATGTAATGAGGCGTGAAGGCACGCACAATGATAAAAGTATCGTTCAAGCGTCTCAACCCTGAAGAGGATGGTCGACGTGCTCTTGTCAAGTCTAATCGCTCTGACACATTTTTACAAATGAAGGAACGGCGATATCCTCCGGCGATAAACTGGCAGTCCATGCCAAGAGAGAGAAAAAGAGAAACACGCACTTACTTGCGAAAAGAGTTTGAACAATCGTGCCATTCAAGCCTGCCGATATCCAGAAAAGTTATACATTTTTTTCCCTATTGCGACAGTCTGTTCGACTTTGTTCTCTGCGGTGAAACAATGTTTTTTAGTTCGATACTAAATGCATTTCGCGTCGACATATGCTTTATATTTGTGCTACAATTTTTCGTCTTGCACACGTATAAAACAATTTAATTACTATAATTCAACAAATTAATAAAATTCACAAAGCTCTCATTTGATAAACGCAAATTCGAAAGAAAGACTAAAGAGCGGTGACAGGATGTTAGTGTCTAAATAATTCGTATATTAAATTTATTACGAAAAATATTACCTCAGCCAGGGTTTGAATCTGGACCTTCTTCTCCCTAGACGGACGTCTGACCAGTTCGACCACCGTAGCATGTAGTAATATTTATCGCGGTAAACAGTCTAACATTGATAACAGTATTCAAAACGAGAACTGCGCGCCGACTTAAATCGTCAGTCTTAAAACACAGTACAATCATGTATCCCCATTATTGCTATAATTTATAATACAAATAACTTGTACTATTATTCAAAGTTAAAGAAAGTTTATTAACAAAAGTCTTTTCTACTTGTTCTTAAATACACTTTGTACATTAATAAGTTTTCATAATTTTATCTAAGCAAACTATGAAGCTTTTTAATTTTAAATATTAAAGATAGAAAAGAGACTATAACATGCGGTTTTTCACAATGATATCCATTACAAGCGCTTCTTATACATAGTACGCACACTTTTTATTCTCCGGGCGCGATAGTTAATTACGAAACAACGCAATTAAAGGTTAATATTGTACGTCGCAATTAAGAGAAAATTCAATGGCATTTATAAAACAACCCAGTCATCGTTATTACCGACATTACGCGAAATAATGTCGCGAATAAAAATAGCGAAATTGAACGGAATCGCGTTGACGGCCATAGTGGCGAAATCAATAATAGAAATTCGCGCCGTGCGCAGCCCTTTTCGAAAGGGCGCGCTAATTAAGGAGAAGTCTATCCCCTCGTGCCCAGGCCGAGGACACGTGCAGGACGTACGACGCGTTAACGATCGCTTAAAGGTGAGCGAGCGAGTGAACTGCATTATTTTGAACTGTGTTACTGTTACGTAATTGTACGAGTATGTCGTTCGCCGAAGCAGCATTGTCCGGCAATGATTCGCGAATTACTTTCGGTCTCAAGCGCATTCTGCGCGGCTTATTCAATTCCGAGTCTTGTAAAAGTGAACTCGTCTGAAATCTAAGCGGAATTTATCGTCCCTTCGACAATTAATGGATTTGTATTCCTGAGATTATGCGCTTCCTTTTTCCGTCGGTCGCCCTCGAACGACGAACTGTTATCTATTTCTTTCTGATCTTTTCTTTTTTTAATTCTTAGGTTCCGCATATCATTTTTCCTG